AAAAAAATTCGCAATCAATAACGAATCGGATAAAGAATTTCAACACTACAGATGGCTGATCCAGTCCCCATATCAGAAACAGCCATCAGGCTAGAGATGCCCGCCTTCAACGCAAATGTGCAAACGTGGTTCCTTCAACTTGATGCAATATTTCAAGCCAGGCGCATAAATTCTCAACAATCAAAATTCGCGGCAGTAGTGGAAAAACTACCAGCAGAGGTAGCAGTTGAAGTAGCAGATATATTAACTTCCTTCCCAGTAGAAAAACCGTACGAAATTCTCAAGCAAGCGATATTGCATAGATCTGGTTTTTCAGAGGAGAAAAGAATACGCGATCTTTTAATGTCACGGCTGAAGATACCAAACCATCGCAATTACTACGAAGAATGCAACAATTATTGGGCGATAATGATATATCAACCACGGTATTCCGACAAATGTGGCTGGACAAACTACCACCAGATGTAGTACGAATTTTAGCTGCATTGGCGGATGATATGGATATCCAGAAGCTTGCGACAATTGCGGATAAAATAACCGACACGGCACCGATTAAACATATTTCCGCAACTAACACAGGGGATGGCCTTGTGCCAGACATCGATCGACAAATACAAAAACTATCTACAGACCTGCAAGAAATATCCATACAACTACGTGAGCTACAGAATTCTCATGCAAGCCGACGCGATAATTGTTATACCAAGCGTAACAAACAAAATTGGAGATCAAATTCTCGGCACAAATACCAACGACGACGAAATGGCTACCAAAACGAAAAATGTTGGTACCACGAAAAATTTGGCGCGCACGCTAACAAGTGTAGACAACCCTGTTCATACAAGAAATCACCAACCATCAAACAGGAGGGAAACGGACATCCTGGCATTCAGTAGAGACGTTGGATGCCAGACAATTCAAGACTAACCGTCTCTTTTACATTTACGATAAAACCAGTGGGTTGAATTTTTTGGTTGACACCGGCGCCCAAATCAGCGTCTTACCTCAGAAGAATTGCAGTAGACAACTTCTAACGAAGAACACAGCGCTGAAGTTGCAAGCGGCAAATGGCACACCCATCGCTACATACGGTGAAAGAACCCCAACATTAGACATAGGTCTAAGAAGAGAACTCACGTGGACATTTATAATCGCAGATGTCTCGATGCCCATATTAGAGCGGACTTCCTGACGCATTACGCATTATCAGTGGAACTCGCATCTCAAACACTAACTGACACGAGTACGAATGTCAAACGCTGCGGTTTCATTTCAAAATACTCGACAATCGGTCTGACGAATATTATACCAACAGCCAATGGCTACGATGAGATAATACGTCAGTACCAATCACTGCTAACACCGTCATCACGCAACGAACCCGTTAAACACCATGCTACACACAGTATTAAGACAACTGGTCCCCCAGTTCATTCCCAACCACGTAGGCTTCATCCTACCAAACTAAAAATTGCACGAGACGAATTCGATAATATGCTTAAACTAGGCGTAATTCGCCCTTCAAAAAGCCCTTATGCCAGCCCTCTACACATGGTTACGAAAGCAGACTCAATCAGTTGGCGTCCGTGCGGTGATTATAGGCTATTGAATGCCCAGACTGTTCCGGACAAATATCCAATACCACACATAAAGGATTTCGCATTATCGCTGGAAGGTGCAACAGTCTTTACCAAGCTCGACCTTAAGAAAGCTTATTACCAAATCCCAATCGAAGAAGATGACATTCAAAAGACTGCCATTACTACCCCTTTCGGACTATTCGAGTTTACGAGAATGCCCTTTGGGTTGCGTAACGCGGCACAATCATTCCAAAGGTTGATCGACGAGGTGCTACGTGGTATGCCTTACACGTACGCATACATCGACGATGTACTGATAGCAAGCAAATCCCATGCTGAACATCAGGAACATTTACACGCAGTTCTAAAACGCTTGCAACATTACGGACTGAAATTAAACATCGACAAGTGTATATTTGCTGTACCACAATTAACTTTTCTCGGACACGTCATAGACCAGCAAGGATTGTCCCCTTGGATAAAAAAATAACAGCAATCACAAATTATCCCCACCTTCTACGTTGAAGCAATTGAGGAGATTTTTGGGATGGTAAATTACTATCGACAATTCATACCAAACTGTGCGTCGATATTATTACCACTAACAGACATATTATCTCAACGAAAAAAAAAGAACTCACAGATTACATTATCGAAAGACGAATTAGAGTCTTTTAAAGACGCGAAAGAGGCATTACAAAGATGTACAAAGCTAACGTATATCAATTCATCTGGAAACTCCAATCTTACCCTCACAACGGATGCATCGGCCGACACGATTGGCGCCGTACTGCACCAGATTACCAACGGTATAGAGAAACCCCTATCTTTTTTCTCGCTAAAGTTGAATACTACACAGAGAAAATATAGCACTTTCTCGAGAGAACTACTCGCAGTATATTTGGCAATACGTCACTACCGACACATTTTAGAAGGAAGAGATTTCGTAATCCTCACCGACCATAAACCACTAACATACGCATTAAACGCAAAGGCTGACAAACTGAATCCGCGTGACCTCCGATACTTAGACTACATCGGCCAATATACGTCAGATATTCGGTATGTAAAAGGTCAGCATAACACTGTAGCGGATGCATTATCAAGAACCACACTTAACACATTACAGTCACAGACACTGGATTTTGACACACTCGCCGAGGAACAAGCGAACGATAATGAACTACCATCAGTACAGGAAGATACTTCACTTAAGATCGAAAAAAGACCTTTACCTTTTACTGACAAACTTGTTTATTGTGATGTTTCTACAGGCAATCCTCGACCCTACTTACCTCTTTCAAGGAGAAGATCGATCTTTAATCACTTCCATTCACCAGCTCATCCTGGAGCGAAGGCTACGCTGTGGATCATATCCGACAGATACGTTTGGCCCGGTATGGCTTCAGACGTGAAGCAGTGGTCCAGCACGTGCCAACGTTGCCAGGCAACAAAAATACATCGACACACCAAAGCGCCATCATCAAGTTTTGCGACACCAGATGGACGATTTACTCACATACACGCAGATTTGGTGGGTCCACTCGAGAAAATAAATGGACATGAATATATCCTAACAATTATAGATCGCTTCACGCGATGGCCAATAGCTGTACCGCTAACGTCGATAACAGCAGAAGCGGTGGCGAATGCGATTTTTCATAACTGGATTTCTATTTTCGGATGCCCTGCGGTTATCATCCCCAATTCCAGTCAACTCTGTTTAACGAATTTGTCAACATCCTGGATAAAACATATCTCCACTACGGCATATCATCCATGCAGCAACGGCCTAGTAGAGAGATTTCACCGACAGCTCAAGTACGCATTAACAGCGTCCCAGGTTTAGATAAGCTACCATTTGTGATGCTTGCCACTAACACGATTAAACATCTTAAATGCACTAGCGCAGAACTAGTCTTCGGAAAAACAACAACACTACCAGGACAAATTTTCCATAACGAAACGAATTCTACCCCAACTAATTACTTCGTGGCCGACCTCAAGAAAAAAAATGACAGACATTATATATACGCCACACGAGTTTGTAGAAAGCCTTTCTACGTGCCGACAGATTTACATTCGTCAGAATATGTTTTTCTGCGGCGCGATACAGTACGAAAAACCATTAACGCCAAACTACACAGGCCCACATCTAGTAATATCCAGAACACCCAAATACTTTACGATCGACATCGCTGGTAAACAAAACACCGTCAGCATCGACAGACTTAAACCAGCATATTTACAGTGCGACGACACAGATCAAACAACAACAAAGACGACAGCAACAGAACAAACAGATACGCAGACAACAACTACTGATACGACTAAGCCAACACAGTCTACTCGCACAAAATCAGGTAGACATGTTCACTGGCCGACCAAATATCGAACCTACGTAACATATTAATGCTCATTGATCATGGCATTAATCTGGGGGGAGGTATTGTGGACTCTTCCAATATCCTCACCTTTTCTAACCTAAAAAAGGCACAGTCCACATCGTACGCCTACGTACAAAAAAACCTCAGCCAATAGAAATGGCGAGAATCGAATCAAGCAATTCCATTGGTCAATCGTTTTCTGAAACAGGAATTGCGCCAAAACGAGTTGAGCCACTTTTGGAAACCCAAATATTATAAAAAGGAAAGCAGACAGCCCCATTCAGTCAGTCTAGCTAACTCACCGAGCAATTGCCTAAATATTCCACGACGTTTCGAACCATAATTTTGTCGCGCTTTTCAAAGAACATTCACTGACTCACTTCGAACATTCGACGAACGACTCTTGAAACTTTTCACTTAATTTCTTATGCATATTGATTTATAATCATTACAAAAATAAGAAATACGAAAAAGCGAACACAAATACAAAATACGATTAAGGGTAGACTACTTTGACAAACTCTTTTTGCAAAAAACTCTTAATTTTATTATTACAATCTTTGATACAAACAAGAAAATAGCAAACATTACGATACAAGAGACATTAACCATTTCAGCATACACATACAATTTACGCACGCAACTCATACAAATATTATTCCAGTTTGTAAATGTTTAATTGTATATAAATGTTGTATTGTTTTGATCTATATATGTCTCGTTTTTTCCTTGTTTGAAATATCACGATTGTTTGTATATTTGTTTGGGACGCGGTCAAACACGCAACCATTAATAACAAATCCTTCTGATAAATTAAATGACCCTAAAGTCCCAACAGACTCATAACGATTGTAAACAATGTTTTTGTTTGAATTTGGGTTTGACTAATTCGTAAAAAAAAAAAAAAAACTAATTAAGATATGCGTGTCCGTCAACCTTAAACAATAATCTTTGTCAATTTTATTTTTCAGTCTTTATGATGGTCGATACTTGAAAAATGTAATATTGCTTACTGTTACATCTCTTTTTTCAGAGAAAACAAAATTTTTGCCAACACCTGTAAGTGAAAGTATTTTTATAATTTATTGTCCTTATAGCTATATGAATATTAATGTCATTTATTATCTGTGCTGAGAATTTTATTGCAGAGTTTAATTCTGTAGCTATTTTTTGGTAGGATTTATTTTTTAATATGTTTCAAAATAGAATTAATATTCAAAATTTAAAAGAATCTGGGTTTATAACTATAAGTTTAAAAAATATTAGAAAAATTATAATTTCTACAAATGCACTTTACACTGTCAAAATAAATGCCAAGTTAGTAAATACCTGTGCATCTCCAAAAATATCGATGACTTGAGCCTGGCAGCTGATCTTTCTTCTGACCTACCTCTAACAGCCCCAATGGTGAGTTGAACTGGCTTGTAACTTTTGGCACCTCAAAAACCAAGTTAGTAACTTTTCATCATCACAGAGAAAATCCTGAATTCTCTCCAATCATTATAAACAGTTTCACTTTCAAATAGAATCCTTGCTTTGAACGTCCATTTGAACTCAAGTTCACCCCAGATCTAAAGTGGAACTTATGATTCATCACTAAAGATGCTGCAAAAATGCTTGGATTTTTATACTGTTCCAGAAAGTATCTGCCTTCTCATATCATACCCTATCTTTACAAGAGCCAGATCTGACCAAAAATGTAATATTGCTACCATATCTCAACTGGAGCTGTCCAATAATCTCTTTCCAACCCTGATAATGTTCAAAAGCATCTATGCAACTTTAATTATTTCCCACCTTACAACATCTTTCCCACAGACACAATGTCACAAACCTCTTGCTACTCTAATACTATTTCTATGGAAAATATACTGATGAACAACATCTTTAGTTCCACCAGTTCAAAACTTTACAGCTAAGACCTGCCAATATCATGTACACAGGAGTGAAGTTATCCTCATTCCTTTCATATTCCATTAGCAAGAAGGAAGTTCCACTCAGATAACTTCTTCCCAAGAACTGCTACTTTATGGAATAATCCTGAAAGGAGGCTTCCTCATTCACTACAGCTGTAACTGCTTTGCAAAGAGTGAACCATTATTTATCCTAGATATCCTCATAATCTGTACTTCTTAGCCCCACCTCTTACATCTACAAAACGACCTCATTTTGCCTTGAGTGGCTCTTTTACCTTGTATTGAGTAAACAATAGTAAAAAAAAAAGAACAAAAAAAAAAAAAACAAAAAAATTCCAGTGTTCTTTAGGTAATGAGGTTTTACATATATATATATACATGATGCTAGCTCTCTTTTTTGAAAACTATTTTCTTTTGCTAGAAACATTTACACACATCTAATATAAATTTATTAATACAATTCTTAGAATAAGCATGTAGTTTTATTGGCATGGAAAGTAAAATTGGCAAAGTCAAGTTCAAATTCCAGCTGAGTCTGTTGCATACACTTTTATACAAATGCAATTGGAAAAAACATGAATCCATCTCTTTTACCCCTCCTCCCCAGCAATGGTATAAATAGCAGAGTAGACTGAGATCTCCTTTAGGTGGCAACCAGTCTAAGTGAAAGAAAACTTTAATTTGTAAACCATGAAGAAGGCTGTAACAAAGCTGGTAAGTTAGGGTGTTGATGTATTACTTTCCCCATTATTATTATTTGTTGACTGTAATGGAGTTGATATTAATCACAGAAATTAAAATGCATAAACATACAATACTAACAATATAACTTGAGACACATGTTGACATAAATAGCAAGAATTTCTATTTTCTTTTTGTGATGTGAATTACAGAATATTGGTATCAGTCAGTTATGTGCCATATGTGATACACACTTAGGTGATCATGTATCTTTCGATACATGACTGATGAGGCAGATTTTTTCCCATAGTAGATTGTCATTTTTTTCTGCAGTAGACCAGTTGCCATCAAAGGCTATAGAGCTCTGTCTGTCCTGCTATTTACCCATAGTTGGGATTATTGGTATGGTCTGCGTAAAAATATTCTCAGTGTCTTTTGTTTAAAAGTCAGTGTTTACTTGGTTTGGTTCCAAGAATTTTGTTTGTAAGGAATCATTTGAAATCGTCTATTTTCGATCTTCCAGAGTTGAGGATGGCATTTGACATGATTTGGTTCCAAGAATTTTGTGAAGATGGCATTTGACATTGTCTGTTTTCACTCTTCATGGAGTGCTAGTTGACATGGTTTCTACTAACTACTTGTCTACTATTATGGGTACGCTAGTCTACACTACTCTACTGACTCTCTTGTGGTGTAAGGGTTGTTTTTATAATGATTTGGGTTAGGATGATGAAATATCCTTCTTTTCTATCATCACTGATAGCAATGTTATTTTTAGAATGATGAAATATCCTTATTTTTTTTTCATCACTGATAGCAATGTTATTTTTAGAATGATGAAATATCATTATCATTTTAGACCATAACAAGGCAATGGGAAACAATTCCACTATCTTTCCCAAGAATGCCAAGTAATTTACATAATAAAGTAAAGAAAAGGTATCTGTGGAAAGTTATGATTGCTAGCACCACAAAGGGACATAATATATAGAAAAAGAAAATGCAATTCTTAAGAAATGGAAAAGAATTACGAAAGTTTAAATCAACAGCTGAATATTTTATTGAACTTAAACTCTAAAACTATTATCTATTTAGTAGATATATATTTTAACAGTGATGGTAAAAGTCATATAACTGTATTGGCTTTCTTAGAAACAGAAACAATTTTGATATTTTTCACACATGTATTGAGCTAGTTCTGGAAGAATTTGCATTTTAAAATGTTTTTTGTTCAGTGATTTACAGGAAATGCATATTAAAATACTGTAAATTTCACCTTCAGTTTACAATAAATCTTATCCAATCTGTCATAATTTTCTAATGAAATAAAAGAAAAACTAACAATTTTTTCCTTTTGCATAATTGACATTTTCTCTTTTTAATTTCAGCTGTTAATTGTTGTCATAAATAAACTATTATGTGTTGTTGAAACTGATACCTTTCAAGAGTATATCAATATACAGTGGAAAGAATTTGGCAGGTTAGTTTATTCATACATAAATCTCTTCCTTAAGATACTAAAGACAAACTGCTGTTTTAATTAACATTTTCATTAAAGTCATATATAAATATAATTAAGTCATCAAAAAGGTAACATGGAGATCACCAATTTGGAAGGGACGGAAAAGATGAATATGTTAGAACAACTCCACTGAAATTCATAAGTAAAGTCAGAGCAAAACCCAGATGAAAGAGATAGCAATAGACTACTGACAGAGATGAAAATGCCCATTCATTACAAGAGAATATTTGTGTTGAGGGAGAGTTCCTATGCATTTTAGTCACTTATAAGAAAATATATAAACAACTGTTGATTTTTAAATTCCTCTATAGGATTCTAGAACCAACTCAGGAAGTAAAAAGTGGCTGCCTAGCAAATATTTTTGTGCTAAATTCTAGTTTGCTGAGTGAAATCACGCTAGAATCCACTTTAATAAACCTGTTATGATGACCAAACTTAGTAGCCATAGATATCCTACATACACTAACTCAAAGTTGCTTGTGAGCTATAGTTATAACTCGCTTTATGCTAATTACCTATTAGCTAAACCAATCCCATTACAAAACCTTTTGAGTCAATTTTGACCCTAAGTAGTGGCAAGCTCTGCTACAAAAGTGCAATCACTTTGCTACTGTTAGCTTGTCCCTCAAAATACATTCATATCATTTAACTCGTCCTTCATTTTTGACTTTCATTCTTTACTGTTTTGAATATTGACTTTTATAGTAAGAGAGCATGAAAGCATTATAGTTTTAGAGTGGAACAAAATAAATGGATATTTTTACATTGCATAAGTGCAGTCTTTTTTTACTTTGTTCCTTTCTGCTTATACATAGGTCTATACATCATCTTTGCATTTGTATTTTTTGATTAACTTTATTCTTTTTATAGAATAACAACACAAAGATTAATAATCATAATTTTTGTCTCATTATGCTCTATGTGTTACTGCAACAATATTTGGAGACTAAAACCAGCTTCAGAATGAACCATATATTGTTGATCCTACAAATTAAATTCTAGTGAATTGGATTTTCAAAATGAACTTGGTCATAGTTGCAAGTTGTCACTCAAAAATGAAGAATTGAGGGCAGCCACAAAGGTTCACCCAGAAACAAATGCTTAGGTGTTGGGAGCTGTCCATACAACAGTTAGAAGATATCTAGTATAAATTGGTAAAGTAAAGAAAATGTAGAATTGGTTATCTCATGATAAGACTGATTTGATTATCAGCTTGCATAGTTGCTTCATTTTGCTTGTTTATTTAAAAAAAAAAATACTCTTTCCTCGCTTACCATTTATGGAAAGTGGTTTTGCATGATAATCAGAAATGTGACTTGGTGTTGATAAACTTGCTCTTCCCACAACCTTCTCAACAAAATCTTCCAGACTATTTAATGACTCCAGTACCACCTCTTAAAAGCTGTACAAGAGTAATTAACATAATTTAAAATCACACTTTTGATGTTTCTTTGCTTAAAAAGTATTTGTCTTAAATTTCCTTTGTTTTGTTTTAGGAAGTTTGCATTTGGCAACTTTTTGTTGTTTCTACTGCATGTAGTTTTATGGACAACTCTGGGAATATTTGACTCTGATACTACAAATAATACCTTGCATGTCTCATTTTTGGTAAGTAAAATTATTTGATTTTTATTGTAATTTTTACTATGTAAAAATTTATTAAAATGTGTTGCTTTATAGCTCAGCTATTAATAAAATTTTTATGTTCAAAATTTTCTCAGAAACCAGAAAAATAGTCAGAACCAAAGAAAAAAATATATTTTAAATAAATAACATCCACTGGCCTTTAACCATGTGTGTATGTGTGTGTAAGAGACTCCAGGGGTCAGGCTAATATGTGTGCATAGTGATTCCAGAGTTCAGGCTAAGCAGTTCAATTGCCATGTGCATTTGTTTCAAAGCAACAAAAGTCTCTAAGAACATATCATTTATTCTCCATCAAGAATAAAACAATCTCAAATTGTTTTAATTTACTACTTTTTATAGTTTTGTTTTAACTTCATACACTAAAATTCTGACTTAAATAAATTTTGCTGAAAGTTTTCATAAGAAATTTTACATGAAGAAACAATTAAAATAGCTATCAATTGAGGAAAGTGATTACAACCCAATAAGGCTAAAAGGAAATACTTCTAATAACATAATATGATTCAGGAAAACAGATTTCTAGCAAAACATGATGTCTTTACACAACACCACTTATACAAAATTATAATCAGGGAAGGTGTGAGTGAGAGGCACTTTTACACAGACATAAACACAGTAAAAGTCTAGAAATTTTAACTTAGAATTGCACTAACATGCATTTATGTGGAATAATTAATTGTGCATAACCTTGCTTGATTTTGAAGAAAAGGATCTAACAAATCTGACTTGACAAATATCAGAAGAAATTTATCATAAATTTAAGTTTTGTACATGTTTCATAGCTTTTTTGCACAGGTGTCAAATATCTGATTTAGAAACTAGAAATAATTGTATTTAGGACATATTTTAGTTACATGTTAAAATTCTTCTTGGACCTTGGGGTGATAGAGAAATAAATAAATAACAAGAAGATCAAAATTTCACCATGTTTAAAAATAGATAGATAATTGCCAGGCAAACAAAGCCATAGTTTGACTAACCAATCAGAAAGCTTTCACGACTAGGATGTAAGGAAAAAAATAAAGAAATAACAAGGAGACCAGCATTTTGCCATTTCTAAAAATAAAAAGTTTGACCATCCGAGCAGAATGTTTTCATAACCAGAATATAGGCCATGAGCCAATGAGAAGCACAGAGCCCTTTTCAAAGTTGGTCTATATAAACATATATAAAATGATGGAAAATAACTCTAACCAAACATTCAGAAATGATGTAAGAAATGAAATAAACAAATAATAACAAGGGGCTAACATTTCATCATTTCTAAAAATAGATGGCTTAACCAACCTATCAGAAAGCTTTCACAACCAGAATATAGGCCACAAGCTAATGAGAATCAGAGCAAAATTTTCAAAGCAGGTGTATACATGTACATATAAAAGGATAGAAAATCAACCAAAACTAGAGTTGCTAAGTTAATTTTCTCTATTTTTGATGCTGCGGTTATCATAATATACCCAGAGAAAAAATAGAACATTTGCAGAACTAATTGGCAACTTTACAAGGCTAACCTATCCTTGCTACATTAAAAACAAACATAACTTCCTTCACCCTGTTGTTACACAACAGTTACTACATTTGGATATATACACACACATATATATATTTTTTCTTAAGAAGAAACAGTGGAGTAATGGATAGTGGCTTGGATCAGAGAGCCAAGTTTGAGTTCCAGTTGAATCCATTGCATTCACTTACATGCTAATAACCTTCTCCCCCCCACCTCCAGCTATGAATAAATAGCAGGACAGACTGGCTTCTATAGCCTTGGATGACAACTGGTCTGGCTTCTATAGCCTTGGATGACAACTGGTCTAGGAGGACAACTCAGAATTCAAAACCTGTGAAGGGTCATTCAGGGACCTTATGGCATGTGGTGCACCAGGTCTCTGTATTTGGCTCTTCAAAAAATGTGTTTACATAAAATATATATATATATATATATATATATATATATATATTAATTCATGTTTCATTAAATAATATAGACAAGTTTTGTCTATTTATTTTAAGTAAGTTCCTTTCCTATTGTCTTCAGGGATAAACTGCTATGGCAAAATTAATGTAAGTTATAAAAATATGTTAGTATAGACACTCTTAAGTTCAAAAAATTTTACTGCTGTGTAAACAAGGTAACTTAGTTTATGTAAATACTATTAAAAATTGTAATTATATGTTTTAAAATATTGTTTTTAATTGTAATAATAATGAAACCATAGCCTCACTTAACATTGAAAGTTTATTTATCAATATCCTAGTTAGAGAGACAATTGATATAATTAGAAAGAATATTTAAAACAAACCATCTCTCCCTCCATTAAAAATTAAACCTAACATATTACAGAAACTACTTTTGACTTGTATGGCTGAAGTTCCCTTTTATGACCATCAGAATAATATGTACATACAATGTGATGGTATTTCCATGTGTTTAGTTCTGGGACCAACATTTAGTAACTTCTACATGGTTAATCTTGAAAATAAGATATTTAATACCACTAAAAAACACCCTTCATCTATTTGTAGATGATATTCTCGTCTTAGTCAAAAACATAGATGAAATACATGATCTACAAAAAAGCTTCCAAGAAAACTCAGTCCTTAAGTTCACATATGAACTTAAAAATAAAAATAAAATCCCTTTTCTTAATGTATTGTGTCATATTCCTAGCTAATAGGAATATATACTTGAAAACAAGGTGGATAAAATAAGTAAAGGTTTATTGTAATGAACCAGTACAATAATAACCAGTACACGGTTGTCATATGTTAATCCAGTAGCAAATGCTACTATTGGAAGGTCAGTAGTTCTTGCATAAGTCTGAGTCGTACTCAACAGATCCCAGCTAGTATATTTAGCTACCCCTCCACAAGGGTTGCATGTGGCACAAGGCCGCTTTAACGTGGGTTCTCCGAGCCCGTAGGCTCGGCCAAAAATATTCCCTTTTTGAATCCGCATAAACGGGTTCAGGGTCAACCAACCTCCCTGAATGAGACTCTGATCTTTGGTGGAGCCTCGTCCGGGTTCCTCTCTGCTCAGAGGCAGAGAGTTCAACTGTTTAGCTGGAACAGGTCGCAGCTAGGCTTTGTAGTCTGTTGACTTACAGATACTTATAGGTAGTTACTACCTATAGTGTAGTCACTCATGCAAATGACAGGTTATTCCATTACATCATATTGATTGACACTAACAATAATATATTTACAACCTCTCCGTATAAAAAACAACTAGCATAAACTCATGCACTCTCAATTATAAAAGTTAATGTCCTAATTATTACAAAATAGCTATTATATGAAATTTAATAAAACATGCAAAAGCTAATTTTTCAACAAAAAAGATTTTCTACGCTGAATTAAAAAATATCAAACAAATTCTCATTAATAATGCCTTTCCTAATTACATTGTTGATGAACAAATTAGACGATCTATTAGAAATATTGACATAAATCAAAAAGAACATATCTCCTCAAATAACCCAAAATGTATCAACCTGCTATGTCACAATCAATACATTCTAACTAGAAACAAGATGAAAAAATCCTAAAATAACTCATAAGTACTAATATATTTCCCACTAATCCCAGTAAAAAATTAAAGCTAATTATATACTACACTAAATTTAATGCAACTGACTTAATCATCTGCAATAGCTCTTCACCATCAAGTAGCATTTAGCAAAAGACCAACATCATATATCAATTTAAATGTCCTTTGGGAGATTGTATCTCTGACAATAATGTAAATATATATATATGTTGATTTTATGATGACAACGCTTTCAAAGGGTCTTACATTTCATATGAATGAACATACTTCAATTTCTTAGCATTTAAAAGAACATTCCTGTCCACATTCATGATTTACAAAAATACTAATTTGTTTTCAAATTTCCCAAATAAATCATTTTTATTATATTTTATCTACCATCACCCAATGAGGAATGATTAAAGTTCCAAAACATGAAGTTTTTTGTGTAGCAATGTAAAATGTTTTATTGTAATATATTATAATAATATTATATTTTGATTTATGTTTTTTATTGAGCACTTTTAAAAAGTAAATGCTAAGAAATGCAGATTCTTACTCCATCTGTTTTTTCACTTTCTTAAGATATATATATATATATATATATATATATATATAATGGATATTCAGTTTTTGAAACAGATATGTTTTTTTTATTTATTAAACACTGTATATTACATCTATCAGACTGCATGTTTGAGAAAATCTTAGTAAGAAAAATTCAAAAATGCATTCCCCTGTGCATGTTCTATCCCTGCTGGGGATCCACTATAATAATGTTTGATGTAATAAACATGTTGAATTAAAATAAATGAATTAATTCTTTAGAATTAAAGTTACATTTAATTTTTTTCTCATTTTTATACTTTCCTAAAAAATATAACTTTTCAACATTGTTATAATGAAATTACATCCCTATTTTTTCATAATATTTATTATAATAACCTTTAAAGAAGTCAGTTTTGTAATTGCATGGAACTAACAAAAAGTTGTAGTAACTTCCTTTTGATTAGGTTAAAACTTTTCTAGATAAGCCCCAAGTCTACTGAACAACTCATCAGATAGAAGATGAATATTGAAAATGAACAATTGTTTATACTAAATTAATATTCATTATGATTTTGAATGACATTTCTCTGTAATTTCAATCGTTTTTATTGCTTGATTTTTGCTAATTTTTGTAGGATTGAAGTTTTTCAATACTTAAATATCTGCTTTAACAGTTAAATAAATAAATAATAACTGTTAAATAAATTCTTATTAATTGCTAAGATTGAAATATTACAGAAACAAACAACCAGAGAAAAAAACAAATGTAAATATGAATTAACAATAACAAATACGTAAATTTTATTAATTTTTCTTAATTATGCTTCCTTTTAAGGTAGCTGCAGTCATTGGAACTATTCTTTACATGATTTTTGAGTGGAAACAACATAGTGCAAGTGACCAATATTCTACGGTAATATTTATTCAATAGTTTATTACTTACTATTTTCTTCCCTATTTCTTAAATACTTCCACTACTGCATAGTTATAGCTTTGTTGGGAAAAATAGAAAATTGCCATTTACTGGAAATAACTATAAAGATGATGAGAGCGATTTCTTGCTGCTATTTTAGTTTAGTGTCTGCAGCACAGAATAAATTAAATGACTGCCCCAACACAATATAATAAAAATATATCATAAAACAAGTTGTATCATATGTGTCATACCTCTTAGTTTTCTTTGGGTAAAATAATCATAATCAACCAATAAGGCAAGTTCTTGCTCAAAACTGGGGTTCTATTTTTTTTAACCATGTAGATAGTATAAAAAAGAAAAGTTGAGAGAAACATGGAGCAGAAAAAAAGAGACACACAAGTGCTGACAATTGACATGATTTCAACTTTAACAACAGTGACCTATGAACTACTACTACTACTACTACTACTAAAAGTAATAACCCCAAAACTCTCTGAAGAATTTTCCTTCAATTATGGGTTCACTCAAAGATACCACAGAAGCACCCTAAACACAAATTCCTCATTGGTACTTCAACTACCATAAAACAAGGTAACTAACACAAAAAACTGGTTCTTACAACTTCAAGCCAAATTCAACACTAGAGGAACTCACTCACAGATGAAGTTCTCCAGTATTATACAAGCTGTGCTTTGCCTCCCAACATAGCATAGTCAATGAAGTTGCTGAACTGTTGGAAGATGAACCTAACACTAACACCTATAATGTCCTTAAAATGGTGATTATTAAAAGGACAAGTTGTTTGGACAAAGAAATGCTGGCTGATTGGATCATTTTTCACAAACTATGCGATGCAAAGCATTTTGATTGACAAAGTAAACCATTATTTTCTTCTTCACAAAACCTTCCTAAAATTTGACCAATTTACTGAACATTAGAATTATTCTTGATTGGGCCAAGATGTTTTCTGCATCTCCTCATATGGAAAAGACAATTTTTCATATTTACCAAGTTCAACATAATAATGGCTGTTAATTTATCTTCAAAATAGTATTGTTGGGTTACAAATGGTGATTCTCTCCCTTTCATTGAGATAGTCTCAAGGATCATGTGACAGCCAGTGAATGATGTCTGGAAAAATACTGACAAGAGCAGTTGTCATGTAGAGCCCAGACATTAAAGATGTTCTTAGAACACAATGGTAGGTCTTACAGGATAAACCACATGGCCTAACCAATTTTGTAGAGAAACCACTGTAACCCCAGTTTCCCCTTTAGGAAATAGAACAAATAAGGTCCCCCTTTCTTACATGCTGTTGCATATGTTATAATTTCTCTGTGTGGGACACATGTATATATGTATATATCTAATTTTGTGTACAACATAGCATTATAAAGCTCTCTGAGAACTAAGCGTGTTTGTTATTACTTTTCCATTCAGTTATTCTGTTCTGTGCATGAACTGTTGGTGTTGTTATATCAGGGATATAGCAACTCCCATAACAAGAAAAATGTATTTGGGAAAATAAATATTTCTTTCCCTCACTCTCATTACTTTGGTGACCAAAATACACTTCAAACACATAAGCAAATATGAAATGTTCATTTCTTTCACAAAACACCATAAACAGGTGTTCACAATGGGTCAATTAACAAAATATGGTTTAACATGTATATATTTTTTTTCATCACGGTAAATGTTGGAGTGGAAAGGACAATATTATTGTCACAGCTACTGAAAGACACATTTGTTTAACATGCTAGAAAGCTAAATAATTACCACTTCTGAATGTTTTAACTAGCATAATTTACATGTAAATATTTTATCCATCCACTTGTTAATGCAGAGGTTGAATGTGAAAACAACTTCGTCTACTCTGACCATTTTTTACCTCTATTTTAACCTTTTTGAATTTAACTATAGCAAAGTTAAATACAACTTTCTTAGTTGACTAACAAATTTCTATGCGTTGTTTTGTGCTAATTTTAATAGCATATCTTATTGTTACATTTTCAGGATTTCCATGTGTGAAAAGTCTTTTCTCCATGTAGACACTTTCTGTTATTAAATAGGTCAAGTGTTTCAGACACACATTTTTTTATATGCTGCTTTTCAGCATAGTGACAAATTTCAGCAACATGCTCTCTTTACTTATTTGACCACAAGGTATTAACAGTAATTACACTGTTGTATATGCATTTTGTGACAGGAAACTGTTTCATATATTTTTATGTCGTTAAATGTAGATATTCTTCAATGTGGCCACCATCTTTCTCACAAGATGAGATTGATTTTGGTGCACTTCAGGGGAGACCAGGTCTCCTATACCCAGTAATTCATCTACTCCTTCCACTATGATGTATAACATGTGGTTGTAAACTTCGCCTCCTTAACTCAGTTGGGGGTCATTATTTTTACTTAACTACATAGTAGTACTGAACATAAACTTGGTGATATTTAATTTAAATTCACTTCTTTCATGTTTAGTTACTGTGCCCTCCCAAAGTATTTTTTTTATTCTCTCATACTATAGTTTTTCAGAGATATTTTCCTGCATTGCAGGATATTAAACCACCATGCGTGAGGAAAATTCTGCTGCCATTATGGCAGTCAGTGAAATAACCCACTGTATGACAAAGCAGATCCTGTCTCTTGCCCAAATCAAGTCAGGTTATGAATTGAGAGGAATTACCTCACAAAAAAGAAAATTCTATTTGGCACTTTCAAAGCTAACTCATAAGACAGCCCAAGAAATTAGAGAAATAATAATTTCACCATCCGCAGTAAATACATGATACTTTAAGGAAAAAACTAATTGTGAGGACTTCTATCTCTCAAAGGAAGAAACTATCCCAACTTCTCAATGAGGAAACCATAGGAGTCAGCAAACCATTGCAATTCTTGCGCCATCTACAGCATGTGGCTGGAGAAAGCACAAGTCATAGCTTAATTCAACATATTTTCTACCAGTGCCTGCCTCTTACTTTTAATATGATCTTAGCCTTGGTAGGGAGGGATACACCCATAGAGAAGTTGGCAGAGATCACTGATAACATAGCAGTTGTAACTTCCACCCACATGATGTCAATATCTGGCATTCAGAATTTGGAGTCAGATCACTTGGATAAAATTTTAGACGTACAAAAGAAATTAGAAAAAAGATAGATGAATTAACTAAAAAGATGGATAAACTGACACAACCATGTGCTACAAATAGAGATCCCTTCTCCTGTCATGCAATGGAAAGGAGTAAGGACACTTTGTGTCAGTTACATAAGAAGTATGGGGATAAAGTCAAACCAGGGAAAAGTGTAAGTTAGCAACCAAAGGCAACCCAGTGTGTCAGAGGTCTGTCACCTATTATTTGTGTCTGACAGCATTATCAGTATTCATTTTCTGGTGGACAGTGTCTCACAAATTTTGATAATACCTGCTAATAAAGAGAACAGATTAAAGGGGCCTCAGAAACTTACCCTTCAGGCTGACAAAAAGTCACTTATCCAGAATTATGGCCATAGGTACCTCACATTGAAGTTAGGACTAAGAAGAAATTTCATATATTTTTTATTATAACAGATGTAGAGAAAACTATATTGAGTGCTGATTTTTTGTATAAATATGGCCTTCTTATTGATATCAACAGATATTGTTTGATAGATCCTGAGACTAATATTAAATCACCAGGATCTATTCACAATAGTATCCTGCTATGTCTTGTTGTGGCAAACACAGAGGGCAATCCTGAATTTTGTGAAATTTTAAAATACTGTTACAAAACCAGATTGTTTCCCTATCTTCCATATGCATGATGTAACAGGCATTGTGCAAAGAAAGAAGATATTTACTAAATTAGACCTTATTAGGGAATACCATCAAATCCCAGTCAAGCCTAAGCATATTCCAAAGACTGCAATAACAACTCCTTTTGAGTTCTTGCATGTCCCATTAGGTTTAAGGAACACAGCACAGTCCTTCCAGAGATTTATTGATCATGTATTACATGGACTACATTTTACCTGTGCCTACATTGATGATATACTTATAGCCAGTTCCTCTATAGAGGAACATATATAGCAATTGCAGCTGATGTCTGAGTGATTTGATAAATTTGGGGTTGTTATTAACCCTGTGAAGCATGAATTTGGAAAATTGGAAGTGATTTTCTTAGGCCACCATATAAATTCTGCCGGAATTTCCCCTTCTCCATCTAAAGTGGAAGATATTTCACAATTCCTCACACCTGATAGCATGAGAAAGTTGTGTCAGTTTTTAGGGATGGTAAATTTTTTCCATCAATTCTTGTTCAGCTGTGTGCAGATAGTAACAAAAGTCAAAAATTGTGAAATAGTTCTATCGGAGCATGCTATGGCAGCATTTCACAGAATTAAATTAGTATTGTTCCATGCAGTGAAATTATCTCGTATTGTTTCAGGCAAGGAGTTGTGTTTGGTGGCTGATGCCTCTTCCATTGGTGTTGGTGCTGTATTGCAGCAGAAAATCGATAGCCAGTGGAAACCAATTTCTTTTTTCTCCAGAAAATTGTCATCAATGGCACATTTGGACAGGAGCTCTTGAAAACTTATGCAGTGGTTCACTATTTTCAACATTTGTTGGAAGGAATTTCAAGTTGGTTTCAATGTCCTTAAACAGTATTTATTGTTACTTTGCTAATGTGTGTTGATTTGACATAGAAGTTTGTCCAAATTTCTTAGATAAATCAATATCATTAGTTTTTAATTAGGTGTTTTTTCAACTTATTTTTCTTTTTATCAAAAAAGGAATTATCAAAAATTATGCAGAACTATTATTAAATATCCTTCCTGTTCAAATCAGCATACTCATCTTTGTTATTATAGACAATTTAAACAATTTATTATTTTCATAGGAAGTACTAATATCATGTAGCAACTGTTTAGCCATTTTATTAGCTTTTTATCTTTATTGATCATCTGTTAATCAAGATTTAATAATATATTATTACTTCAATAAATGCAATAACTGTTTTTTTTCTTTTTTCAGTTACTGGAAACTTTCAGCTATCATGAGTTTGATAAACCTGAAGATAATTTATTTTATCATGAGAAAACAAAAACCTTGATTAGTAAAATGAATCCAAAAGGATTTAGTTATTTCAACCAGAAATGGTCAGTTTTCAAAACTAATCACTGTCTTAAATGTAAAATTGAAATGAGTACCTTAAGGTTTACCTTGATTTTTAAAAATCACAATAAATTCTAATTCATGTGATATTTTACAAGTTCCCTTTTGATTATTATATTATAGATTAATGCAATGTAATGTTACTTGATACTTTGTATAGTACTTTTTTGGGTTCCCTTCAGAAATTATTTATTTTTCACATATATATATATATTGGGGAAACTGCATAAAAGAGTGGAAAAAGTTTACACATTTTGTCCTTCAGGACTTCATTGAACTAAATTTATGTGCACAAACGTGATGGGTTAAGGATTTTAGAATTTTTACAAAATTTTTGATTTTCTATATCTGATTGAATTCATTTAGAGTCTTTTTCTTTTTCTCTCCATCACTTTTGTTAGTAGGCATCCCACACAGATAATAGAAGATCTGCCAGGAATGGTGAAATGTTGTAAGAGCCTGGGTTCAAATTTAATGAATATGACCTTGCAATCAAGACACTCTCTAGACATTTACATCATAGTGAATTGTTTTCTCCTTTGATCAGAGTAGCATGATTGTTTCTGATATATAAAAATATATATTATTATCTCATATATATATATGTGTGTGTGTTGTGTGTGTATATATATATATATATATATAGAGAGAGAGAGATAATATTAGAGGTCAATATACATATATATATATATATATATATATATATATATATATATATATATATAGATAATATTAGAGGTCAATATATATATATATATATATATATAAATATATATATATATAAATCTATATAAATAAATTTCCAAGAGGATAGAATCCAGGTAGAACTCAGTGTCCAGGACAGAGTAATAATATAAAAAAAAACATAAAACACTAATATTCCATAGTTATAATTTATTACATTGGAATCGTAATCCCGATCCAGTTCATCAAACCTATAAATTCAAAAAAGAAATCGAAAAAATATAACTTTGAATATAAAAAACAAAATTTTAGTGAGAGTGTATGTGTGGGAGTGGGAAACAAGTGTAACAGGGAAATGAAAGCTCTAGAGAGAGGTCTAATGGAAGAAAGAAGAATAAGAAAGCCTAATGGTGAAGGTGGGGATTAAAATTTAACAGAGAGAAGATTTAAAGAGAGGAGTTAAATAACGGTTTAAATGAGTGAGATACAGATAAATATGAATTATTTTTCAATACAGATAAATATGAATTATTTTTCAATACAGATAAATATGAATTATTTTTCAATACAGATAAATATAAATTATTTTTCAATGCACTACTGAATCGCTGACCTAAATTAAAAAACAGACACCGGAAACATGTGTATACATTTGTGGTAACTACGCACAATAAAAAATGATATGATCTAAACTTAAAATCCAGAACATGAGAGAGAGAGGAAAAAAAAAAAGATGGGGGATGATAGCAAACTAAAAATGAAGGGGATTTATAAGAGAACCGATGTGTAATCAAGAAAATTTGACAAAGCAAGTAATATCACCTACAGGTTACAAATTTAACATAAACATATAAAATTTAACTAATATTTATTCTAGTAAGGACCTACTATTTATATGCCCAAAAACACATATGTAGATACACACATACACAACAACATATCTATATCTACTCACACATACATACATATACGTGTGCACATATATATATGTATATATATATATATATATATATCTCAATACACATATACTCATGCATACATATACACATATATACATATATATATAGACATACACATATGTGCACATAAACATATCTACATAAAACCTTACACACATCCATACATATAAATTACTCATCTAAACAAATATACAATGTATCTATCTATCTATACATATTAACATACATATATTTTTTCTGTTACACCTCTCTCTAGAGCTTTCATTTCCCTGTCACACTTGTTTCCGACTCTCACACATACACTCTCACTAAAATTTTGTTTTTTATACCTGGAGTTATATTTTTTATTTTTCGATTTGTTTTTGAATTTGTAAGTTTGATGAATAGGAACGTGATTCCAATTCCAATGTAATAAATTATAACCATGGAATATTAGTGTTTGATTCTTTTTTATTATATATATATATATATATATATATATATATATATATATGCTTTTGACATATGAGTGTCAACAACTCAGTTCCTAGAAACTGACAACCAGACTACCCACACAAATCATTTCATTATAGTGGTGAAGACTTTGTGCAGAACCAACCACACTTTTTGAGGAGCTGAATACAGAGACCTGGTGCACCGTGTGTCACAATTTCCCCAAACAATGCTCTGCAGGTTTTGAATTCATAGTTGTCCTTCTTCTAGACCAGTTGCCATCCAAGGCTATAGAACCCAGTCTGTCCTGCTATTTACCCATAGCTGGGGGTAGAAAAAGAGGATTCTTACCTTTCCCAAGAGTATTAGCATGTAAGTGAATGTAATGGATTCGATTGGAATTCGAACTAGGCTCTCTGATTCCTCAATCTGAGCCACTATCGATTACACCATCATGTCTCATATATATATATATATATATATATATATATATATATATATTAAGTGTTCTCTGAAGCTTTAGGGAATTTGAAAGGCATGCATATCCAAAATGGAGTACAAATTTTTGCTACTTTGCTTTGTGTGTAGAACCCAAACAATTTGTTTCCATTGTCATTTCCAAACCAGGAAATAGTGGAAAATAAATGTATGGGTACTTTTTATGGTTAAATTCTTTGAAATGGCATAGAAAAAAGCTAATTGACTTCAGCATCTTGAACTCATGGATTAGGTAGTTTGTGACAGGTGTTGAAGTATATATATATATATATAACTTCTACTTTGAATCTGGACACATATTACTTGTAACTAAACGGATAACACCAGCCAAAAAAACATACTTCTTTATTAAACCTAAACCATGGAAAACACCAAGGTATAACATTCAAGCCCTTAAAATTGAAAGGATAATTTTAAAATTTAATAGTGCAAACTGATGTCAGTAAATCTAGATCAAAACATAGAGAAATATAATCTTATCATATTGTTAACTGAAACACACAAAATCATGCTAAGAAGACCTAGAAAGAAAAATATACATCCATGGGACAATAGCCATTAGTTGAAAAAGCTGATACAATAAAGAAACAAACAGAAGAAGAAAAATGGAAGGGAAAATAACCAAATAATTAGCAAAGAAAATAAAAGTTAATTCTTTGAAAAACCAGTATCTCCGGAAAATTGGAAATGAAATTAACAAAGTCAAATAGTACAATGTGTTAAAATGTGAAAGAAAGTGAAAAAACATGATAATATACAATCAAAACCCCTAAAGAAAAAATACCCAGGTCTCAAAAAATATATTGAGCAGCATTTCAACCCTAACCAGACTAAACTTAAGAGAGAGTCAAGCCGAATTATCACTGGGGTATCTCCACCAAGCTAAACCAAGGAGTTGATTACATGCACACAAAATTAAAAATAAAATGGACAACACCTGAATAAGTTACTATATGATATTTATACCAAAATAAAAAAAAATATTTACAGTTCTTTTCTTTTTCTTCTTTTCCCAACCCATTCTAATATTTGGCAACAGAATGAAAATTTTGGGTAACTTCTTTAAGGGTGGCCAGACTTGACAACTGGATTTATGACAAGTACTGTGGTTTCTAGAATGGCACAAGGTTTATTGTTGGAGTCTTTCTTCAACAACAACTAGATTTAACTTCAAGTACTGTTGTTTGTACTTTCCAGAACAGTACAAGGTTTATCGATAGAGTTTTTCTTCTTCAGCAGATAATTATTATTAGGTTGTCAAAACAGCATTATGGTAGAAATCTCTTAACTTCCCGACGCAACTTCACTCCGACTGCAACTGTGGACCGCAACTCCAACGGCAACTAACTTTAGCCCCCATGGGCACTTGTATTTATGGGTGTCCCTTCCAACTGGTGTGGTGCGGGCAAATAGATGGGTTTTATGAAAATCTCCTAAAATTCAACCAGTCTCCTTCTTTTCATTTTCTGTTTCACACTTCCAATTTTGGAAGATCCCCTCCTCTTTCAGGAGGAGCCATTATATGATGTCAGCCTTCCTGGTGTCATCTTCTGCTTTTACAATTGCTCATTCTGTTTTCACAATTATAATTTTTATTCAGGAAAATTTTGGCTGATAATTTTCCCAGTACATAGACATTGAAACCTTTCAACAGACACCCTTAACCTGTACCTATTCACTGTCTCTTGCTAGGCAGCAATAATAGTATTTTGTATTTTTTTTTTTCAACTTGTTCTCAATATCCTGAGAAAATGAATCGCTTCCTGACAAAAAAAAAATAAAATCATTTTCTTAACCCTTTTCGTTCATATGCCATGTTAAAATCGTTTTCTTTAACTCTTTTCATCTGTAGGCCATGTTAAATATTTTTACAATAGAACATAAACCAATATTCATCCAAGCATTACAAAGGCAATCTCCAAACAGAAGCAATAATGAACCTAGTGATAAGGAAATTAAGAAAACTATTAAAAAACTAAGGAATAATAAAGCAGCACTTGACATTGAATCTGAACTTTTGAAAATAGTTTACTTTCTCACTAAATTCAATAACAAGTTCCTTTATTTTAAGAAAGAAGTCTGGAATCAGAAATGAACCCCCAAAAAGCGGGGTCTATCATGCATTATAAAAACAGTAAGATAACTCTCAACATCCTCACACATATAGAGATACCTCAGTTGGATCCATCTTGATGAAAGTATTAATGAACATTATATTAAGTAAGCTCTCATCATTTTATGAAAGTCAACTCCTCATGATCCAGTTTGTTTTTTGTTCTGGTAAGGGATGCAATGATGGTATATGTGTCATCAAACAACTTTAAGAAATTGCTTACCTCTCTAATAAGTAATTGTATATTTGCTTTGCTGACCTTACAGCAGCATATTACCATATCAATAGAGACTTCCTTTTCTTATCCATTAGTAACTGCCTTCTAAGTTCTGAATCCACTGAATGCATCAATCTAATAGAAGTATGGTATTGATCTACAGAATCTTACATACCTGACAAGGACCCAATATGAAAACCTCAGCAGAAGTATGTCAAAGAAGAAATAAGAGCCTCAGTCTATTTAATCTCTTCCTAGACTATACTCTGCACATTTACAAACACAGATATAATGAGATGGGTACTGACCATTTAAATATTCCATACAGCATCCAAAATAAGTCTACCAGTAGAAGACAATGATCCTGATTTTCCTCCCGATGCCAATGTACTGATGATGAGATGGTCTATTCTGATGACATAGGTGTTCATAATTGGGATAAGAATGATCTTGAAAAGATAATCAGCATCCTCTATTGAGCATTCCAAGAAATGGGACTCAAGATAAACCTTTCCAAAACAGAAACTATGATCTGGAATTGGAATGAAAGCAGTAATGCACTTACCCTGAATCCTTCATAAAAATTCAGGATGTGGAATTAGTAAATACTAAATGCATTCAGATACCTTGGTGTATAGATCAGCTATAACAAATTAAGTATAGGAGAAAAAAATTAAATATAGCATAGGCTGTACCAGAGTTAGTTTCACTCAACACCACAAATTGCTACAAAACCAAAACATCAACTTGAAAACTTGAGCCATGTTTATAAATAGCCTTATAAGTTCAAGACTTTCATATAAGATGCCATACATGGTGCCAAACATTCAGAAATATATAAACTGTCAGCTGTTTACAACCACTTCCTATGCTCAATGGTGAAAAAGCTTTGAGCTAGTGAAACCTGATGGTCTTGACAAAGATCATCCTTCTTTGAACATTGTGGAATGACACTAAATATTCACAAAGAACTGTACCAATTAACAGAAACCACATCACTTGAGAACTACCAACAGCAGCAACAACTAAAATAGATAGCACATGTAACTTGAAGAGAAAATAATGACATAATCAAGATGTTAACATTTCACACCACTTCAAATAGAATCTTTGGAAGGAAACCACCATTAATACTGGAAAGAGCAATAAAAGCTACTGAACTTGAGAAACTTGTTTTCCTAAAAAGTGTTTTAAAAGAAAGATTTTATAAATTTCAATTGAAAGCAGAACTAGCTGCTTGGTCAATGAATGCCAAATGTTTTCTTATAGGTAATATTACCATTACCATTAAGTTGGATATAAATGACTTCTGTAATCTTTTGCATACATAAGTGAAAAAAAATATTAATCAAGGTAACATTAAATAAGATATGATAAAAACTTTAAAATATACAAATGAAAATAATTGTGATCATGACTATTTCTCAATCAGCTTTTATAGCATTTTAAAATTTTAATTTTTTCCCTGAATACTTATTTCTTTTTCACTGTTTTCTCTATTCCAGGAATTTTATTGACATTGTCAGTATAATAATCCAGTGGGTGACTGTTGTAATCGAAATAATGGCATTAAACAATGTTGCATATAGCATTTCTATACGCAACTATATTATGTGTGCAAACCTCACCTTGCTATGGATTTGCTTGCTGAAAACGTTACGCCCTTTTACATCCACAGGTTAGTATCTTTTATAAGATTGTATTTGTAATAGTTTTAAATTTTTTTTTTTACTTTAACTATCATGACCATCATGTTTGAGTAATATTGATTTTAATTGAAAATAAATTTATCTAATACTCTGTAAGATCCATTAAAATGTCAATCATTAATTTTAAAGAAATAAGGAAATATAAGTATAGATTTTATGTGTTACAGTCATAAAATTAATTGGATAAAAATATTGAAACTTCAGAATACATTTTATAAGATTTATATATTTTTTACAAATATGTAGGATTGTACATTGTATTTATCTATATAACTGATTGCTCTCATTTTTGTTTTGTTTGTTTTTTGTTTTTTTTGTAGGAACTTTAGTAATTAGCTTGTCCAATGTTGTGGAGAAAGATCTTTTCAGATTTTCAATAATGTTCTTGATATTTCTGCTGCCAATGTGTAAGTTAACATATGAAACCAAATATTTGTTTCTTTTCTTTTTTTATTTTTACCAATAATAATATCAATAATACTATGGAAGGTTAACTGACGATATTTTCAGTCATCTGACATGAAAGGTTAGATATAAACGAAGCAACTCTTCACTTTTTTAAAATCACTAACAAAATTATTAATGACTAATTTATCCATATGAAAAAAATACAGCTGCTATGCTAAACCTTTACTATTATTAGAAGTTTTTCACATAAGTGTATTTAAATGTATGAATATACTTTGTAACTATAAAATGAAAATGACAGGATTTTCATATACAGGCTGCTATGACTAAATTGTTGCCATTTTATATTTTTTAATTTCACAAATGCACATTGTTTGTTTTTGTCAACTGCGCAGTATAGTACACTCAGTTGGGCACCATTTGTGAGAAAAAGAGCACCATGATGCAATTCACTCCACCAGAAGCTTGGAAACAGTATGGCGTATGGCTTGGCATTCATACCAGAAGCTCCAATATGAACATTTCAGAGTCTTTAGGTGTCAATCTGAGGACAGTGCAGAGGATTTGGAAAGAGTTGGAGGAGTCTAATGATGATTACAAAGGCATGGCAGCTTGAAAAACTCACTGTGTTGTGACAAGAAAAGAACTCCCAAATTTGTTGGTGAGGGCCTCAGACTTAACATGGAAGCCTACATCAAGTACCTCGAGGAAATAATGCTGCTTTGGGTCAAGAGGATGGCCACTGGAAGACCTTATGTCTGACAACAGGACTGAACACCATGCTACACAAGCAAGAGATAATGTATAAAGTGATTCACAACTTCTTGTTTACTTCTCCACCAATGACCACTAAACTGTGGTTCACTTTTTATAGATTTTGTCTATAAATTTGGTCAGTTCCTACATAGTTTTTCATTGGGTATATGTTGTTTTCTGCTGATATTTAGTGCTGCTCTCAATAGTCAAGTGTATGTGCCAATGTCCATTGAATACAAGATTATTCAATTAACAAGGTGATAAAATATTTCTTTGAGTATTCATGTCACTATTATACTGAACAGAATAACATTTCAACTTATAAAAATACAAATGAAAAGACATGTCACTTGTGACTGTACTCTTACTTGACTATCTGTTTCTTTTTTTAGCCTTCAATTTCTGGATAACTTTTGGAGGGAAAAAAATAATAAATAATCAAACTATAGCTGTCGATTACTATGATGCGTTTCCTACTGTCTTTTTCTCAGTACTAAGAATGGCTGTTGTTGATGAGTATGATTATGATGTAAGTATTCCATTTATTTGTTCTTTATTCTTTCTTTGTTTCTTCTTGACTTTATTATTTTCTTATTACAGACAAAATTTAGTTTTCAAATCCATTTAGATCAGTCATTCTCAAAGTGGGTGATACTACTTAAGAGGATTTTGGGTGAGAGGAGAAGAGAAAATGTCAAATCTCTTACCCCAAGTATTATGAATGGTACAAATGAAAAAACACAAGACCCTTACTACAGTGTGAATTTTGAAAGAAATTTACATTTATTAAATGACATAAAAACAATAATTTAAAATAAAATTTACAAAACAAACTTACACAAAATTTTCCTTTGTGCACCAAACAATTTATGCAAGATAACAAATTCCAAAAACAATTCTTTTAGGCTCATAAAAACAATAATAATTATTATTAACAAAATTTTCAATTATTTTGATTCATTTGACTCTCAAAAAAAGTTGAGGTTCACAGGTATTGATGGGTTTCTGGTTTGTTTAGGCAACAGTTCAGATTTACAAACAAAGATGAGATAATTTCTGGGATGAGGAGTTATTATTTACACTATTTATATTCAAGCTATTGTCCTCATCTTTGTTGTTGTTATCACAATGTTTCAGCTGTTGTGTCCTCTGACCTTCCTCAGCTATATATCAATCTGGGTAACCTACAGAGAATTCTGAACTGAAACCAATTAGAATATCCCAGTAGATAATCTGATGAAAATATTGACATTCTGTGTACAGACAATATTCTTCCAAATAGAATCTGACATATACCATAGGAAGAAGGCTTAATTCACCGTTGTCACCAGTGATGGCAAACATATACATGGATTACTTTGATGAAATGGCTTTAGAAACAATACCAGTAATGCTAACAGTATAGCTGAGATATATAAATGACACCTTCACCTGGACAATATGAACTCAATAAGACCTTCAGTCTTGTTCACAATGGAAGAAGAAAATAATAATCAGCTAGTTCTCCTAGGTTGCACTAATAACTCACATAGAGAATGGGTTTAAAACATCTGTATATCATAAGCTAACCTTTACCAGACAATACCTCAACTTCAATTCCCACCATCCATACAGTGTGAAGAAAGGAATCACTTGATGAGAAAATATCATACGTGACAACTGAGATATATACCAACAAGAAATGATCAGCATCAAGTGTACCCTTCAGAATAACAACTACCCAGTAACATCTACAGGTGGGAACAGAAAGGACAAGGAGGATGACTAAAAACTTGCCATCGTCTGTCTACCTTATGTCAAGGACTTATCAGAAAAGATTCAGAAGATCTGTGGTCCATACAACAGTAGTACAATATTCCGAAGCAGTTTCCCATTACAGAGAAATCCTAACACAGGAGAGAACATGATCAAGTATTGCATGTACTTGATTCCTTGGACAAGGAAGAACACTGTAAAGTTAAGCATCTGAAATAATCAGCACATAATTCTAAGCTAAGAGGACCTCTTTAGAAGGTCTAGCATAGAAATAAATATAATATGGGAGGTGATAATAAAGAAAGAAATACAAATTACAGCAAAATCTTCAACAGCAGCAGCATCAGTCAAAACAAGACATGTGACAGCAGCACTCATCAGCAGGCACATTAGGTTTAATGTTTGTTCCTTTATTTTGTGGTTGATGCGTGCATGAACTACTCTGTCAACTCAGCTGTTCACTGGTGACAGCCATCCAACATCTATTGGCTGCTGATTGGACACTAGTAGGCAAGTGGCAGGTGCACTCCTACTGGCAGTGGTAGCTAACAATGGTCACTGCTGGGGCATCACCAGCCTGTCTGCGATGCATGCTCCTAGTTAGCCAATCACCACAAACTTTGTCTATCTTCACTTTCGTGCATCGTGATGGAAAAAACTCTTTGTGTTCATTTATTTTTTCTCATTTCAGAACATGAAAAAAATTGAACCATTATTCACAGAAATTCTAATTACTTTTTGGCTTGCAGTATCAGCCATTCTTTTAGTCAACCTTTTCATTGCTCTACTCACAGATACATTTCAAAGGTGAGGATACATAGATTTATTAAAACATTTATTATTTTATTTACTACTGATATAACTGTATTTTTAGCACTGATGCTGTTTAATTTCTGTAGGAGTAATCTTATTTGGTTAATGATAATATCACTGAGAAAAATACTGTTAATCAATGTTTCTTTTATATATTTGAGTTTGCATAGTATAGTAGGGTCAGTTGGGCAACATCTGTATGAAAAAGAGCACCATGACGCAATTCACTCTGTCAGAAATTTGGAAACAGCATGCTGTACTGCTTGCTATTCATGCCAGAAGCTCCAATATGAATATTTCAGAGTGTTTAGGTAACAATCTGAGGATAGTGCAGAGGATTTGAATGTGTTAAATTGTGGTTACAAAGGTACAGCAGCTTGGAAAACTCATTCTGATCATTCCTGTGTTTGTTAGTTAGGGCCTCAGACTCAACACTGAGACCTACATCAAGTGCCTTGAGGAGGTAGTGCTGCTCTGAGACAAGAAAGTGGCTACTGGAAGACCCTGTGTCTGGCAACAGGAATCTGCACCATGCCACACAAGCAGGAGAACACAGTCATGACTGTCAGACAATTTCTGCGACCACCTTTATATCTTGTTACCTAACTGCAACCTCCTTGATTATTATGTGTGGGGTGTGGTTGAGTGAGAGACCAACAAAACTCCTTGTAATAATAAAGGCAAACTTTATGGTAGCATTCACCAACTTCAACAAGGAGACTTTCCAGAAGAGTTGCAGGAGATTCCAAAGTCGTCTGGAGGCCATGGTTGAAGCCAATGGTGATTTTATTGAATAAATTTACTCTTTAGTATTTCAAGATACTTTTGTGTAATTTTGGTAAATTTATCTATTAAAATATCAGTTTTAATTTCATTGTTGCATTATTTAGATGACAATTTATCCATTGCATCCTTTCCATTAGTATTGAGTTTCCATAAGCATCAAGGAATATGATTTTGTTCATATGAAAATTCAACCAGTGCATTTCTAGAGGATAATACTTTTAATATAAGCAGTTTTTACAAGTGCTCAATATTAAGAAACAGAGCATTAATTGTAAATAAATAAAATAAAATGTTCAGGTTTAAATTCCTGACTGAGTCTTGAAGAAAAGTTATCCACTTGTTAGAAAGTAAGGTAGTAAATTGAGTCTACACCAAATATTTATTGTGTGAAATAAATGCTCTTTTCATCACTAATCTCTTTTGTCAATGTACTTATTTCTTTGGAGATTAATAACCACATATATTGCACATTATATTCAGTTACTAACTACATTTCAGATTGCAGACTTGTTGATCCATCATACATTGGTAATAAAAGAAATAGCTCTCAGTGTTTTTTTCCCAAAATACTTTAGTTTATAGTTAATTATAATTATGATTTTTGGATATATAAATAATTATCTACATGCCTAAATAGCATCTTTTTTAAATTTTAATACCATTTATTTTAATAGAGCTTTAATAATTTTGTAAAATTTTGTAAAAATAAAGAAAAAATATTAAAAATATACTTAAACCAATTCTCCAATAAAGAACTGTAATAATAATTTTTTCACTATTTTAAATTCTAGTCTTTCATCTTATTTTTGTCGTCTTCAAAATATAAGAAAGGTTATTCAAAAATTAATAATGACAATGTTTTATGTAAGAAATTGTACATTTACATTTTATGCTGTATGTTATAAAATAGATTTAACATTTTTTTCACAGTTTTAAAGACTATTTTAATTAAAAAGCATACTTAATTTTTAGTGTAAGCAGGAATAATCAGTTGAATCAAGTGAGTATAGTTTTGATTTGCCTTGTTAAGTTAGCATGAAAATTGGCACATAAATAATTTTTACTTTTTTTACTTGTCAAAATCATACACAAGAAAATTCAACATAACCTATGTATATTTAACTTGCTGAAATGCTAGTCTATGGAACAATAAAAGATCAAGATTTGGATATAAGCTTGTTATAATGACAATAAAATGATTGTTAAGTCCTGAATGGTGAAAAAGATGAAATGTACAACAAAAAAATGTCTAGTTTACAATCTTTGTTTTCAATTAAAGTAACATCATTATTCAGTGTCAAAACTGTGTTTACAGAAATTTAAAGTAATTAGTATTGTAAAAGAAAAACAAAATAAATTTAATTTTGTTATAAGCACATGTATGATAGTATGAGAGAACAAACAAAAGAAGTACCACCAGTGAGATGAAAAGAAAAGACAAGAATTATTAATATAAAATTGTGTACAAATTTTTGTATTGTTTATACAGAGAATGTGAGTGAAATGTCTCTTTGTGGGCAAAGGAAGTGATTTATTGGAAGGGTAGAATGTAGAGTTGATGCATGTGTTGGGTCATTAGTGTTGATGGTGACAGCTTGTCCATTTGCCACAACTCTCCTACAGTGTTGTCATCAGTATTCTTGAAAGTATCTAGGGTGGATCATGACTCATCGTTTTTCCCATGTTTTTTATTTGGTGTCAGTGTTCATGATTGGCTCCTTTTGTATTTTATGTTTCTTTTTTGAGAGGATTTGTCTTGAGAGCCAGAGGAGGACTTTTTTATTTTTATTTTTGATTTCTTAACGTTTGCATTCAACTAACATATAGAGTGAATCAGAAAGAGTATAACAGCTCCCCAAGATCTCAATCTAATTCATACATAATGACTGGATATAAGTGGTAAGAATGTATGTAGTTATACATTCATTTGGTGAGTTTGCTCTGTTGATATTAGTGCATGATGAAGTGTGTTGAGAGTTATTCACCGACTTGTTTTTTTGGAATATGTTTTACAGTAGTTTTGGTTAAAGTTTGAGTCATTTCACTGGATCTGTGTTTTTATATTCCCCTTACACAAAAGTGGAGGTGGTGACATCAATGCTGGTTGCTCAGGTGATACAGGAATTGATGTAAAATCTTGTTTGAGTAACACCCACCAGTAACTGGAACGATGTTTGTACATACGAGTGACACCAGAGTGCTTTGTGTAGTCATGAGATTGATATAGATACCTGGTGCAGAGTTTGTAAAGTATGACGAGTTTAGGTATGTTTTGATTATCCCTGATCATCAAGACAGAGATGCCAGGTTCCAAATAAAATTGGTGGAAGTGCTTTTGGAAGCTTGTAGCACAGTGGTCACTGGAGTCAGCTGTGATGGTTTCAGATGCCTCATTTGAATTGACCACCTGGTTAGCATTCATTATTTTTGATATCATTTTATTGGGTACTTGTTCAGCAATGATGTTAAGATGATCAATAATCATCTCAGTGAGGTCGATTGAGGTAGCATGATAGGCAAAGAATGCATTAACATGATTTGTAGGAATGATCCTGGATGTCTCATTTCTGTTACTTTGGTATCTGTGGTTGCAAAATGTACTTGAAGGCATGAAGTAGGTAGAGATATTGGCAATTGCAGATCTTGAAGCATGTGTGACCCTTCAAGTAATTCCTGCAGATAGTGGGATTACAATTTTAACTGGTGTGTCTAGTCTTGATTCTAGCTGCATGGGCTTGGGCCATGCATGTTCAGGTTGGAGAGTTGCTTGCTTATCTGAAGCAGTTGATGTCTTATGATTAAGTACTTGGTCAGGCTCAGGGTGAAAGTTTGGTTTGTCTGATCACTGCATTTTATGTATGTACATCACGGTGGGATCAAGGTTAGTTGTGGTATCAGTTCTAATGCCATGGTTATGGTAGTGTTGTGCAACATTTTCTATAATACTCACTGAGTAATGGTCATTCATAATCTTCAAAAGGTGAGGGTAAATAGTATTTTTTTGCTCACAAGCATAGCACTCCTTAGAAAAAAGATGGCATTGACAGTTATTTCTGTGTTCATGTTGTCTGTCTTAAACTTTGCTTTGATATGGATGGTGGCTTCTCAAGTTGTGTTTTCAAATCAGTCTGTCAATTTCTCACCATCTTGTCTTTAGAGGTCACATGCTTAGATGTTCATTGCTGCTACATTATTGGGTTGTAGGCTGCGTCTGTGGTTCTAGTAGTGGCAGATTTTAGGGCAGTTTCTTGTAGACCTGACTGAAGTTCGTCGGTGACCAATTTTATCTGATGTCTGTCAGTGTGTGTGTAGAGTCAGTTTTGGGATTCAGGATTGTTGTTCATTATTGCTTGATGCGGTCAAAATTTTCTGTGTGAAGTCAGTGTAATCTCATTAATTCTCCTGCTGCACACTGATACCAGTTATTATATTTTGATTCTGGTTGGATGGGAGAACAAATGAAAATGGCAATAAACTGCCTGTGAGGCAAAAAGAAAAGATAGATTTTATTAATATAAAATTATTTGCATTGCTAAGACAAAGGATGTGAACAGAATGTCTCTTTGTGGGCCATTTTGAGGAATGGTAGAGTTGTTAGGGCCTGGAGTTGTTGTGTGTTGTTGGGTTATTGGTGGTGATGTTAACATCTTGCCTGTTCACTGTGACTCTCATACAATGTCAGCAGCAAGATTCTTAAAAGTTCATGATTGGCTTCTTTTATAAAATTGTATTTTATATTTTTTTGAGGGGATTTTTCTTTGAGAGACAGGTATGATGCTTGGAGCCCCTGCACAGAAGACACCATTTTAGTTTTAGTTTTGCTTCCTTCGCATTCACATCTAGCCAACATGTAGAATGAACCAGAGAGAGATCTAATTTGAAGCTGATATGACAATTTGTTCCTGGTAAATTCCCACCAAAGTAATATGAAAAGTAGAAAATATGTTTTTTGTGAAAAAATTGTTAATTGAAATTGGTTTTTAATAATAAAAGGGAAATTATAGTCTTATATTGAATAATTTCAAAGGATAATTTTTAATATTTAAAATAAATCCATCAAACAAAAAAGGTATACCCACACTTTTCTCTGAAGAACAATTGTTTTTTTTATTTTAACACTTTCCCCTAGGCCCAATAAGCATACATACCAAATCTGAGGGCTGTATATAAAATGACTTCACTGTATATAATGAAAAAACTTTTCCTTTCCTAATTATTTATATTATGTGTGTGTATGTGATAACAAGTATTGCTATATGATAAGATGGCTAAGAATGATAGAAGTCTGCTCTTACAATCCTCACTGGCCCTGTACAAGAAAAGCTGTTCTATAAATATCTATAATAGGATACTATTTTGTTTCTTATAATATTAGAGAAAGATACATAAAATGAATATAAAATGAATCAAATTAACTTGAGGTTTTCTTTTTAAAACACTCAGAGTCTATGATAATACTAACATCACTATCGCCATGGAAAAAGCTCGACATCTTTTGGGTGCATGGCATACCATAGAGCAACATGATAAATTTGCGAAGATGTTCATCATATCCAAAAAACAGTTTCTTGAAAAATATGAAAAAGAAAATTCACTTACATACAGCCAGGATGATTTCATAGGATATAGAAAATTCCAGAATATTTCAAAAAATACCAAGGTGAGTTCACTTCACTTTTTATTACTTCCAATAAGTAACATTTCAAGCTACTAAAATTGATCGTATTTTATCATAAATAGTTCTGATTTTAATATATATAAAAGCAAAGGATAAATGTAAATGAAGCAAAATTAGTTTGAAAGTACACATACGCTAGAGGCAGTGATAGTAATATAAATTTTACATTCTTTCTTACTACTAAAATTCATAATCTGATAGTTAAATGATTATTATATTATTATTTGTATTGTCTCAGCATTAACTGAGGATAGGCTATGGCAGTTCTAGTCATTGACCATGTACTCACAGCTTTTACTTTAAGGAAAAAAATAATGCAGTGGTTCCCCATTGTCTTTTGTATGATTCTGAACAGAGTTGTCCTTCTAGAATGTTTGGCCTTTCAATGTTAAAGAGCCCAATCTAATCTTTCTAATTTACCCATGGCTAGTGCAAAAATTAGGTAGATTTCTAAGTGAATATGACAGCTTTGGTTGAAATTTGAATTTGGTTTTCCAATTATATTTTCCATTCCAATAATTTTGACACTATAGATCCAAATATATGAAATGAATAAGCTTTTATCTAAACTAGATCCCCACAAGGCATGTGGATTTGATGGTATCTCTACATTTGTCCTAAAGAAATGTGCTCCTGAACTGGCTCCTGTTCTCTCCAAACTTGACAATAAATGCCTTGCTGCTTCTTGCTTCCTGTTTTTAAGAACTCTGTGAAACTTTCTGACTCCACAAATTATCACCCTATTAGTCTCCTACCCCTTTTTGGTAAAGTACTCAAGTCACTAATCAATGGCCAAATTGGTTAAGCATCTTACTTCTTACTGCCTCCTTTCGGACAAACAATATGGTTTCCGTTTTGCCAGGTCTACCACCAATGTGTTAATGGCCACCAATGAATTTGTTCATGAAGCTTTAGATAAGAATGGTGAAGTTCAAGCTGTGGCTCTAAATATTTCAAAGGCATTCAACAGGGTTTTGCATGCTGGCCTTCTCCATAAGCTCTAGGGCTACAATGTCTCTGGATGAATATTTGGCTTAATCCAATAATTCCTAATAAATCCTGTTATGAAAGTCATGTTGAACAAGCACACTTCTAGATCATTTCATATTAATGCAGAGAGTTCCCCAGGGCTCTATCCTTGGACCTACACTGTTTTTGATCTTCATCAATGACCTTCCCAATGTCATCAGTTCCCAACTAGGTATTTATGCAGATGACATTACTATTTATTCTTGTCTTAGTAACAAGTCCAACATATCTGACAAAGTAAATCTGGCAACTTCTCCCAAAAAGTACCTCCATTCAGTGGTTAACTGGGGGTAAGAAATGGCTTGTAAATTTTAACACCTCCAAAACAAAACTGCTTTCATTTAATCAGCATAGAGAACCTTTTCTGCCTGCCATCAGCATCACTGATGCTAAACTCCAGAAGAGCAACCCTCTATGTCTTCTTAAGTTCACGTTTTCCACTGACATGAAGTGGAGTGATTATACTGAATCAATTGCTAGGTCTACTACTAAGAAAGTTGGTTCACTGCATCATGCCAGACAATTTTTTTGTCAGAATCCATCTTGCACATTTGTCCATGCATTGAATAATGCTGCCATATCTAGTCTGGTGCTCCTACCATATGCCTTGAGATTATAGAAAAATTTCAAAGAAGGGTCTGTAATGTAATCTTGACTTCAGTCACTTTATCACTGTTATGACATGGCTTCCCTCTGTTTTACGACAAATATTTTTCAACTGTTCTGATGAGCTTTTTTTCTTAGTGCTTTGATTGTATGAACTTAATGTACTACTAGATTGGCAACTAGGTTTCACCATTTTATTGTTGAACTAGCTAGATACAATCATCCCTTCTAACAGCTTCTTTTTACACCTGTGAAACTCCCTTCTGATTTCTTGCTTCTCTGCTACCTACAATCTTCAAAAGTTTAAAGACAACATCAATCGCCATTTCCTGTCTTCCTGATTCTTGTACTTTGTCCTTTCCTCATGCATCTCTCTCTCTCTATATATATATATATATGAGTAGACATGTGGATGGTTTAATGGATAGCAGCATGGAATGAGAAATCAGAAAACCAACATTGAATTCCAGTCAAGTTCTTTATATTCATTTATGCACAAATAAACGTAGGAAAGATATGAATCTATCTCATCTTACCCTAGCTATGGATTAAATAGTAGGTCAGATCAGTCATTTTGGTCTTGGTTGGCAACCATTCTAGAACAACTCTGAATTCAAAATGTGAGAGTTGTTTGGAGATCTTGTTGCACACTATGTACATCAACTCTCTGTATTCGGTTCTTCACAAGCATTCACCACCATAATGAAATCATATGTGGGGTAATCAGGTGGTTCTAAGAACTGATATGTTAAAAACAACAGAAGAGTTTATATATATATATATATATATATATATATATATATATATATATATATACACACACACACACAGGGCCAGTGATTTTTTTGCCCCCCCCCCTTCGGTCATGCTAACTGTGATAATGAAATAAGCACATCTCATCTCCCCTCTCGTTTTTAACTATCCATTACAATAAATATAAAGTTTTTCAATGCTAAAACTGAAGTAGTCTAATAAAGCTTCATGTGCTTCTTTTCTGTATTGTTGCTATGTTACAATTTATTAGATTAATTTCCTTTCACAATGATGGAATGTATACTCTGCCCAGACTACAGATCCATATGTGTGGGTAATCAGGTGGTTCTAAGAACTGATATGTTAAAAACAACAGAAGAGTTTATATATATATATATATATATATATAATATCTAAAAACAAAGGAGTAAAAATGTCATTAGGTTTTTGAAAGAATGCTCATAAATATTCTTTAGGTTAACTATGAAAGTCATGGTAAACTATTGAGGATACCAAGTGATATAATTTAATGCAAGAGTAAATGTTGATGTCGTTGAATTTTTCTTTTATTTATAATGTAATTATTAATTATTCTTTTATTTTAATTTGATAAAATATTTATGAATTTATTTATATTAAATAATGGAAAGTTTTCATTTTAACCATTTTCTTTTAATTTTTTAAAAGTGTTATGGTCATATCTTGCTTAGGAAAGAAGTATAGAAATATTAGAAAAAAACTGGGGTGCAGATTTATATTTTGGTAAGATTCGATAGCAGAACTCTCAAGAATTTTTTTGTCTATTACTTTCTCTTTTCATAAATGTGGCATTCTTTAAATTGAAGTTGTGGTTGAACTTGTTTCTATGTATGACTAATGCATTTGCTAAATTGTTATGTATAAGATCCTTTTTGTGTTCAGAGATACATTTTTTTAAATTTATGCAAGATTCACCAATATGTTGTAAGGAACGGTTGTGATTGTAATTATATTTTGATACTGTTAAGATTGTATAAATTAAAATTAAATTCAAGTCAAATAAAAGCCAAATAAAAGACAAACAAGTTGAAGATGGTAAGAAAGTAGCAATGCTTGATAGAGACTGAAACACAATATTGAAGACTGAACCTTGAAATTTTTACTCAACAATTGTTTTTAACCTCTGAAAGCTGTCTAAACAAATATGTACATCTTAGATTACATTGATATTTGAAAAAAAAAAAAAAATCGAGAAACAAGATACTGAGTGTAAACCTTGGAGAGAAGAATAGAAAAATTCTTGGTAACAAAGCAGTAGACAGTAACAAAAAAAGTACATCAGCCTAAGAAATTCAGCCAAGACTCAATATAGCACCACATTGAGTATTGATACACTTCATATATGTATTATAATTTGCTTAAGTCTTTTCATTTCTTGGTTTGTCATTTTCCATGTTACAAAAGTTTGGAGAAATATCAAGAATGGATTTTTGCTTGGGAAACTTTCTTGACCTTGCTCTTGATAGTTAACAATATACCCAAACATATGCTGTATAATATTTAATTAGTTTTATGACTATGTTGTTATAAATGAAAATGTAGTAGAGCTTAACCATTAAACAATATTATATCTATCAGTACAATAAATATAAAACAGAAATCAGTATTAAACTTTCATTAATTTAAACTTGAAATATGAATTCAGTTACAAGTAAAAAAAAAAAAAATCAATTTTTAGATCTTTTGAGGGTATTTATGATGCTCCACAAATTTTTCTTTATTATTTGGGAATTGCTATGCATAGTGTAACTGTTTCCTGTTGCCTTCATTGAGAAGGTTTTGAATTCAGAGTTATCCTTTTGTTAGATTGGTTACCACTATCTTGCTATTTAACTCATAACTGGTGTGATAAGAGGTCAATTTATTCCAAGGGCATTTGTGCAAAAGTGAACACAACAGACTAACTCAGAATTTGACTCACCAATCCCAATTTCCATGCTAATATATGTTACACTATCTGCATATCCTGCTTTATTGCAGGTTAAAGCTAAACTTAGAATTTTAATTATGTTATTTAAATGCTTTATAGAATGATAAAGTCAAAATACTGCATATAGAAAAATTTATACTGAACTTGTTTTTCATTAAGTAGGGAAATATGACTTCAATGAAGCACAAGTATTCACAGATGCCAACAATTGTTACAATATTACAGCATAGAGAAATTTGGTTTGATTTTAATTTAAATGTGGATACAGTAAACAAAAGTTTGCAATAAATTCAATCTTTCAATGAAATACTTTATACTTTTCCATGTATGATGTATCATACGGCAAACATTATTCCTGTATAATTAATGATGGCAGAAAAAAAACATTATGATATACTGTAATCAATAATTTACTTAAATCATTTTTAATAGTTTAAATTTTTTAATTATGAAATAAACAATTTTTTATAATTCATATTATTGAAATTGATGTATTTATTAAAAGTAATACATTATTTTTTATAATTACAGGATACATCTAAGGAGGAAGACAGCCTGAAGGTTTGTTGAATTTCTATTTCAAATGAATAAATATGCATATTAAAATAATCAATTATTAGCTGAAGGTAATGTGTAATATTCTGATCCAGCAGGTAAAATATGCACACTGAAATAAATTTCATTTGGGTTTATTGGTCCAATGGCAGTAGGTCTCCCTCACTAGTATTGAATGGGATTTTTTTTTTTAAGCATTTCATCCCAAGCAAGGCGGTTACAGAGAGTGGGAGCAAGAGTAAAGAGGCATGATTGAGGAAAGGATGAAGAGAAGGACAGGGAATAGATCAAGGCATCTGGAGATGTTGATTGACATTATATTTGAATAATTGGAGATTATAGCTATCAGGGAAACAAGTAATAGGAAGGGAATTTCAGACGGAAGGTGCAAAACATGAAGCTATTGGAGTAGAAGAGACAGCTACATTTAACCATTTCGACAGTGAAAGGGTGGGACTGAGATGCTAGCCTAGTAGCACTTTTAAACTCCTGCAGTCTGGGAACTAGCGGAAGTAGCTCGTCGGAGCAGTTACCGTGAAAGTAACTGTAGAAAAGACAGAGAGAGGCAACAGCATGTCTGTGAGAGAGCAACTGTAGATGAGATGGATAATTAATGTTTTTCTGTAGAACTGCTTTTTATTTGTTTTCACTGTGAAAATGGTATTCTGAATAAATGTGATATCATGATGAAAGAAATAATGAGGGTTTTTTTTGTCAATAAGTTTAACTAAAGTTCAGTTAATGGTGACCAGTAATACCCCTCAGCCTCATATTGTTATGTAAAGATTTTTGTTTAGGTATAGAAAAAATTATTGCCTTCATTCAGCCATTTATGTTATTGACATATCTTTTGAACATGTCATTCACAATTCTTATCTTCGCTAAATCACATTGTTGAATATATTACTTAAAGAATTTATAACTTTTTTTTTTTTTTTTTTTTAATACTAAAAGCAAACAAGTGAAGATTGGGAAAAAGAAAATTGAAAGAAAAAAAAGAAAACAAATAGATGATTTCTATGCACTCCAGGTTCTAATTCCTGACATCTCAGAAATTTCTGACAGGTATAGACTTGCCATAAAGTGCCACCCACTGGTTGCTGCTACTCAAAAAAAAAAAAAAAAAACTGGAGGTACATGATGCACACAAAATAACTACACACACACACACACATATATGAATGTATTTATTGTTAATTTTACTTTTTATCTTCGATGTTGATATACATACACACATATATGGGAAATGTGGAGAGGAATCACCTTTTACCATTCAAGATAAAAAAATAAAAGTGAACAATAATAAAAATATGCCAGAGCAAATACTATGAACAACAAAAAAGAAATAATCCTATGTAAATCAATGTTAGGATAAAATTACACAAACTGGTGATTAAATCAATGACATACAGAACTGCAGGATGTCATGCCAATATATAAAGTCAACTAAAAGAATGTTTGTATTATATTTCTATCAAAACCCCAAGTTTTTTCATGACCAATTAAAAAAAAACAACAAAATACCCAGACATAAAGAACATGAGAATTTATATATCATGATTATATGTAATCTCAGTATATAAAATACAATATCTATATATATTTTTGAGCATGTAACATTCCTTTGTAGCAATGAAGAGTTCACTGCATAGTAGTGGACTCTTCTGGTAACATAAAAATTCTTCTTATGATGAAGAATTCATAATTATTCCACTTGGAATAAATCTTATTTGTTTCATTTAATATTCAAGAATTATTGAATATAAACAAGTTCAACAAAATTTTTGACATTTTATGAGCACAAATTACAAAATTACGTAAATATTACAGTCATATTTTAACAAAAGAGATGATCTAGTAATATATATCACTTCAAAATTTATGTTTTTGCTTTGTTTTGATATTTAGTTTGTTTTGGGGTTCACCCCTCCCATTTCATGATCATTCATCTGATTTGTATGTGTGTATATATATATTATAAATAATATTTATCATCTCATTGGGATGTTTTTTTTTTTAAAGCCCACCCCGAGAGGATGTGGTATTATGGTGCATGGAGGATTGATTGATGACAGATGAGTTTTTATCATGAATGAGGAAATTGTAACAAGTGAATGGGTTGTGAATCCGATTAGCTAGGTATAAAATAATTAGTGAAGACCCGCCTCAACCCATTCCCCCTTTTTTGCCTTGTGCCATAATTGTATTAATTTACAATAAATCTCTATATCACTTCAAAATATGTTTTTCGTTTATTCATATTTTGAATTTATTCAATGTGATGACTTATTTTTTCAACAGGAATACTTCCATATTCATGAAAATGTATTGAAGGATACTTTCTATTTGAAAGATGTTATAAAAAAGATCCTGAAGAAATGTAAAACAGGTAAAGGAAATTATTATATTTCATTTAAAAGACATACCATATAAGGTGCATTTTCTTTT